CGTCCAGATTCAGCCACTGTTGAAACTGATCAGTTTCAGCAGCGGCTGAATCTGGACGCCAGTTCCGACTTACATACAGATTCAACTTAAGAACAAACCTACAGTCCCTATCTTGTACGTAACCCGGGGACTGCCTGTACTGGATGATCTGAAGAGGTGCTTATGACAAAGTGGTACAGGTAATTCTTTCTTAAATGATACGTCCAGATTCAGCCACTGTTGAAACTGATCAGTTTCAGCAGCGGCTGAATCTGGACGCCAGTTCCGACTTACATACAGATTCAACTTAAGAACAAACCTACAGTCCCTATCTTGTACGTAACCCGGGGACTGCCTGTACTGGATGATCTGAAGAGGTGCTTATGACAAAGTGGTACAGGTAATTCTTTCTTAAATGATATTTCTGTATAGGTGATAATTGGGGAAAGGCTTCTTAATGAAAGGCCTGTTCCATGTAGATGGTTGCTACCAGCATAAACCTGTTAGTCTGTCTAAAAAAAAAATCTATTCCAAATTAATCCAGTGTATGATTAATATGGATAAAGGGGTTTTATTTCAGTATGGGGTGCTGTGTGTGTAATGTGTTTGCCAAGACTGGAATTGCAGCTTCAGGCCTTCTCTGTGTGTCTGCTACTAGCATTGACCTCAGTCCTGCTACAAGCACAACTTGAGGTGCTCCTGCTTCTTAGAAGGTCAACAGCAAAACTGCAGTTGACTTCAGTGAATGCAGTGTAATGTTCCCTCTAAACTATTTAATCCATGTGCAGAATAAATTTTATGTGCACTAAAGCATGTGCACCACCAGTAGAAACACATTCTGTGGGCTGTAGATGCTCTGCTAATCAGCTGGCCAATATTTGGATCTCTTCTGGGTGACCTCCGAAGCACTCCTCTTACAGGGAAAACTAGTGCATTGTTACTCCCTTCGTAAATGCCCATTGTAGCAGCAGCATCTCCACCCTTTCTGCTGTGTGCTGCTAACGTAGTGGTACTTCGCGTGTCACAGCAATATCAATATCACTGGGTGATATGTAACCTATCTCGGGACAAATTAGAGTGCTACTTCCCCATATGTTCAGGCAGCTGATGATATTTTCAAGACTTGGCTTTGCCTCCCATTGACCTTCCACCTCTCAGATTTCTAGGGCAGTGGTTCCCAACCTTTTTTATCCACGGCCTGGCAAACCCAGTCACAAACTTTTGGTGGCCCTGTAACATTTTATTTTCATATTCATTATTCCACGGCCTGGCAAACCCAGTCACAAACTTTTGGTGGCCCTGTAACATTTTATTTTCATATTCATTATTTGCATAAAGAATGAAAATGCAAATAAAATGTTACTGGTCTGCCTAGCCCTAACCCAGCTCCTTGCTCTCCAGTGCCTAACTCTGTTTGATCACTACACCTGCACCCCATGCCCTTTGCCCCTTTTGTTTTAAGGACACACCTAAAGTAGACTCCATGAGGAGTCTTTTTGCTAGTCCATTGGAATCTGGAATCTTTTGCCAGTCTAGGTGGTGGCTAAAGAGTTGAAATGACTAAGAGCTGAAATCACTGGTTTGGCTGGGAGCCAGACCCATCACCAGACCTCCCTCCCTGCCAGCCACCTGTTTCCAGAGCCCCACTGCACCCAACTCCCCCAGTGCCAGCCCCAGTCCCCAATATTAGCTTAGTTGCCAGATCCAGCCCTGCTCCCATAGCCCCCTCACTACTAGCCCTGCCCTCAGAGCCCCCCAGTGCCAGCTCCCCACTCAGGATGCCCCAGTGC